GTAACACAAATAAGCAAAGAATTGAAAGTTGGCTGGGCTTCATGTGCAAGAAATGTGTAGTTTTGGTTGTCACTCTTCAACCAGATGAAAGCTAAGGGCAAATCTAGAGGATATCTAGACAAGAATCTTGTGCTATTTTGCTTTTTTGGTATGATTCAGGTACTGACATAACTGTCTGTCTGTCTCTTAAACATGGACACCCCCATATATATATATATATATATATATATATATATATATATATATATATATATATATATATATATATATATATATATATATATATATATATATATATGAGCACCTACTATGCAACATAATTATTCCACATAGCTCATTCGAGTATTTTAAAGCCAATTGTGAATATTTGTTTCAAATTGTTACCTGTATATAGATTATGAATCATTATTGTCCTTATACGAGCTGATGTCACTGATAATATTCACTCTTATAAGTTAGAGATGCGATCTGATACATCAGTTGTATATTTAACAAAGCTGTCTTACCAAATAAAATCTAATTTTTAGTGGCTCTTTATGAGTCATAAAGATCATATGTTCACATGAAGAAATTTCTTCTCATCTTTTCATCGGAATAAATGGCTTGATAACAGTAAGATATTTACTTTATTTTGTACAGTGAGTCTTATGTGATGTGCGAATAGTTTTACATACATTATATGCACACGGTTAACAAAATTAGAGATTAAATGTTTGTATGCAGTGTTTGATACAGTGTTAGGGTAACCTGGTCATTCCAATGATTTCTACCATTAAGGACAGCACGAGGGAAAGAGAGCAGCCAGGATCTTTTTTTTTCGGCTGAGATTTTCTTAGCAATTCACCTAACTTTTGTGAAATCGAAGCAATTTTTCACAAAGAAAGGGATTAGGCGGGGAAGGGATGTTGGGAAATGACATAAAACTATTCTGACAGAAAAAATAGTGGGCTGCCACAAAAGAATATTGCCCCCTGGTGGATTGGTAGGATATCCACCAAACAATATTAACCCACGGTGCCTAAAGCCCTCACGCTGCCACTGCCTGCTGTAAAATCCGATATGAACTAATTGTTTGAATTCAGAAATTGTTTTACACATATAAAATATATGCTAGATATATTCCTTGTGAATCTTTCGGAGGGATAAAATTCCCAGATTGCTTTCTACGTCACCACAGTAGATAGTCCTATGGGGGTAAACACTCTTTATCAACATTGAAGTACAATAATTAAAGAAAATGAAAGGGTAATTGTTTTTCTTTTTTTATACAAAACTGTTAATAAAAATCTGCTTCAGAAGTCATAACCATTTTACACTTGGAAGCCAGATTTTAACCCCGTTAAAGTCAAGGCTTTGATTAACCTTGGAGTGAAGGCCGGTATAACCAATATTACAAGAATGAGGAATCACCATGATTATCCGCAACAATCTGTGCCTTACTTGAAATGCATGCAGTCCACTAACTTCTACTAACAACTAATTCACATATACTATTAACATTCAGCCTTTTAGAGTAACCACACCATTGTACAATGTGTAGTCATTAATATGTTCAGCTTACCATTAAATAAAGATGTTTATTCTAACTGTAAATTGTGATGGTAAGATGGCCTTCTATGTAGGCTAGTATGTTTATTGGATGTGATGTCTCTTGTACAATAAAGAATATACATCAGAAATAGTATTAAGATAGAATATCTAGTCCATACAACAATCTTAACATCTAAAGCAAACATCAAGAAGCAATGAAAAATTAATGTTAAAAAGGACTCAATAAAAATAACATCTATTTGCATATTGATTACATAAAATGTTTGATTCTACTTGAAATGACAAACATGAACTTAAGGAAAATAATGCTTGCAAAAATCATAGTAAAGTCTTTGATGTCTGTTCTAATATGAAAAGCAATATTTTTCAGTAATCATTGCAGACCATGCAGAGACTCAAATATGAATTATCCTGATACATCAATTTTCACACATCAAAACAAAATATACATATGTACCTCACACACACACACAACGTTTGTCTAAAGGTGAAAGGCTATATATACAATAGCAAAATATCAAGCATGTATGGAATAAGTTCTTAGATACCATATAACTGGAAACTCAGACTAAAAGACTGAAAACAAGAAATGAAACTTCTTCACTCAAACAAGTCTGAAAAATAAGACAAATTAAAGAGCTTAATGCCAAATTCTATATTGGTTTCAGACAGACTACTGTGACCTCTTCATCTCAATCATGTTCTCACTTTAATCCATTAAAAATATTTTCTCTGTAGCATATGCCATTAATTTGCTTCTAATGCAAGCAATGGAGGTTAATATGTTTATGGCATAATGCAAGAAAACAACCCATATTGCTGATAGTGATGGATAGCGAAATTTTGTCTTAAAGGTCAAAAGCAATAATGTAACTATGCAAGCAGTGATGTATAAACATGCACAGCAAAGCACATTGATCACAAAAGCATAAAAAAGCAACAAAAATGATATCTAAGTGAAAACACTCTGGTTAGTGTCAATTAGTAGATCATGAAATATAGGTCATGTTACTTAGTTCTGACTACAGTATGCAGTATTTGTCATAATGCCTCATATACCATATTACACAACCTGTAAAGCAATAATGTACAAGAAACAGGTAAATTAAAAAAAATCTGACAAGCTGATAAGAAACACAAATATATGAGACTTCTCATTATTGTAGAAATTAAAATTAAAGGTTCAAGAGCAGTGATATTCTGATTAATCAAAAGTTTTATAGCAAATTTAAGGGGCAGTTCTCTTATATTTAGATCTTTGATGGCGGAAAACATTGTGTGTGTGAGTGTGCACACACACACACACATGACGCGTGCGTACATGGCACGAAAGGATCTCACTTGCCTGAGATGCAAGTTGTACAAATGTTTGATAATATTTACCACAAAAATACAAAATAAAACGGTCACTATATTTTGCACTTATAAGAACAACTTCACAATGTTCATTTCCATGCATTCTCTGGAATCAATCATGCCTTCCCCCTGAGATTGGAAGTTGGGGTAGTTTGCATATGTTGAGGGTAGTTCTAACATAGGTCCACAAGTGAGGACACTGGGAAGTCTTCCTTTTCCATAGGGTACAATAAACTGAACATCAATCTTATTGACACAAATTACATCTGATCCAGTCAGAAATTTGGGTAACTGCCCTTATATTTCTGCCTTGAATAAATTTATGAAGACACCCAATAGAAGCTTTGTCTTTCTTTGTTCCTGCTGTAGTATGGAGCAGCTCTATTAGTTTGGATGGTTGGGTCTAGTCTCCCATACAGGGCTATGATTAATTCAGTATCTGAAAAATCAATTTGCCAAACACCTTCAAAAACACCACTAATAGCATCAAAGGCAAATTTAGATTCTTGGATTAGTACCTTTGTGTGTAATTTGTATAAACTGTTGATACCATCTCACTCAGTTCTATGATGTTCTGTACTACTGCAATAAAAAAAAAAACATTGCAGCCAAACTTATTGGATAGTGTTTATGTTCCTTGTATCCCTTGATGAAGCTTCTATCTACAGCCTCCCAATATTCTTGGCCAGAGTCCTGAGATAAAAGAGGCATGCAATAAACCTCACCTCTCAAGAAAAATGATTCCCAAAATGTGCATAGGCATCCCTTGATATTCCAACTGCATCGTGCCCACATTCATTTACAAACTTGAACTTTATAACGTTTTCATTCAAAATGTCAGATGCTTTAAAATATTGCAACATTTCCTCCTGTAAATTAGAGCAGTGCAGCATAATGGTCATAACGCTGTTGTCTTCTGATGGTGGTGCTTATGACAGATCAATGACTAGCTGAAACTGCTCTTGAGAATGGACTGCTGTCATCAGACACTCATGTGAATCAAGTGTTAACTCACAGACTTAATGAACAGGACTGATCAAAGGCAGATTATCATTGGAGCCAATTAAATGAATGTTGTTTACTTCGAAGAAATACCCATGACATTTATTATCAGAAGCAGTGTTTGATTCTCCAAACCCATTCATATTTTCAGCTTGGTTAATATCAAGTATCTGCAGTTCATTGGTGGACACATATGCTATTGCAATTATATTGCCTTATGCTTGAACCTAAGGAGACTTCTGACTCAAATCAGACTGGTTTAGATGTATAGGTTGGGCAGAAATTTCTGGTTCAGTATTAATTCTTCTTTATTTGCTGCTGTTACCATTCGAGCTACTTGTGTGTCTTGTTACAACATAAAGCCTGACAATCTTCAGTTTTGTAGATTCATATATATCCTTCAAAGTCAGTTCATCAATTTTTCATGTGTTTGATCAGCAAGAAAGAAATCAGTCATCAGCTTTTGCTTTCTTCGATATTCCACTGGGAAAGAAAAGATCCTTTCCTGTGGATAATGTCAGAGACAGTTCCATCAAGATGGACATAAACAGTTCTAGTTCCACCAAATTATGTTGACATGACCTGCTTCTGACCATTCACACCATAAGTATTAAACAAGCCAATATCCACCTTTATTAGGAGGGGTATTTTATTTGCATTTTTGTTACCAGACTGAGTTGCTGCTGTCATTAAATGCTCCTTTTTGTTCCCTGTTGCTCATAATTTGTCCAAGTAATCTTTCTCTGAGATCTGTTTCTATCACTGGGAAAGCTTGCAATGTCTTCAAGAGAGAGCACATTGTTGTTTGGCATTGGTAAATATTTCTTTAGCTGTTCCACATCCATTATAGAAATCACATTTCCATCTATCTGAAATAAAAGGACAAGACTAATGAGAATACGAATTACAATATGCCTGTCTTAAGTGCCAGTAGCCATATGGTAAATTTGAAATTCATCCTTCTGCTGTTTATTATTCCTGTATGTTTTTAACAGATAAGTGCCACTGGTGATAATGTAATCCTGCCCATCTGCACTGCCATCCATTTTTCTGTCACTTTGTAATGTAGTACAGCTCCACCTGCACCAACCGCTCCTATGGCCGATTGGTAAGAGCGTCCGCCTCGGATGCGGGAGGTCGTGTGTTCAATCCACAAATGGGTCATACCAAAGACTTATAAAACTGGTACTAACAACTACCTCGCTTTGCGTTCAGCATTAAGAGCTTAGTGTTAGGACTGGTTGACCTGGTGTCAGGATAATGGGTGGGACATCATGCTACATGTCTGCGGCATGATGCCTCAGTGCTAGACATCACTATAAACTGACACTGCAGACATCGTAGCGATATGACTGAAAAATTGTTAAAGCTACGTTAAAAAATTAAATCACACACACATACACTCACACACACACACACACACACACAAACAAACAAGTTCACTATGTCAGGAATCATGACGGGATGAATGTTGAAAATCACTCACTTAATATATACTTCTGTGTTTATCTGAAACAGTCATAGCGCAAAAAAGAAAGTGTGATTGATATTGTACTGGTTTTAAAATAAGGGTAGCTAGGTCGGTTGATTTTTTAATTTCTTTTTTTATAAAATCATTTTATAATATATTGTAATGAGTAATATATATATATATATATATATATATATATATATATATATATATATATATATATATATATATATATATATATATATATATATATAATGTGTTTTGCACTTTGCACTTTAAGTACTGGACTAAATGAGCTCAATTAGATGTACAAAACAATTTCAGGTTGGTTTTTTTTTCTAATATTTTTAATTTCTTTTTTTAATGGGTGAGCGTGGTGCTGGGTTTGACAATAAAAACAAGGCTGTTTGGTCGACTAAAAATACTCGTATTTTCTTTTGCTTAATAATTAAAATTCTAGAATACACTGAAAACAAAAAGAACTAATACAACCGCTGCTATTATAGCTTGTCAAACATTCAATGTTATGATTGGGATTTTAATATTCATAACTCTCCTACAAATAACGGAAACAGGTCCCATATTGAATATCTGAGAGGAAAAAATCCAGAAAATTTACTTAGATTTACTTGCATTTTCTTATAAATATCGATAGTGAATGAAAATTCTGTATATTGTATCCATTACTGAGAAAAGCATGCAATATGCAACTATTTAATGATTCATAGGTAAGTTTGGTAAATATTATCGTGAAAAGCATGCATTATGCAACTGTTTCATGATTAATAGGCACATGTGGTAGAAGTACTGAAAAAAACATGCACTATGCAACTGTTTCATGATTCATATGCACGTGTGGTAGATATTGAGAAAAGCTCGCACTATGCAACTGTTTCATGATTTATATGCACGTGTGGTAGACATTAGAGAGAAAATCAGGCACTATGCAACTGTTTCATGATTTATATGCACGTGTGGTAGACAGAGAGATAAGCATGCACTATGGAACCGTTTAATTATTCAAAAACATGAGTGTGGTATACATTACTAAGAAAACGCATGCACTATGCAACTGTTAAGTCGCTGGTTCGTATTTAATTGTAGCATGTGAATGAAGACAAAATATTGACTACTAAATTTTAGAGACATATATGGAAGGAGAGGCACCCATATTGAAAACATATCCTTTTGAAATAAAGTCATTGCTTAACACTGTCAATCGTTCAAGAGTATATACCCATACTATACGAAGTTTGCAGGGCTACTAAACCACCACTCCACTCCACTATACTATACGGAGTTTGCAGGGATACTAAAACGACAACAATGGCTTATATTTATTTATTGCTACATCTACGTCTTACATAGGACTAAGCCTTCATCTGACTCACCTTCGTATCTTTCACGACAAAGAAAATACGCTGGCACAACACTATTTACTGCAAAATCTACGTGAAAATCTATCTCCAAGTGAAGACAAAAAATGCGAAGGCCTATAATCACCACGTAAATAAATTTTCAAATTTAAGTTACATATATGATTCGAATTAACGCAATAGTATTTTGAAATAACGAAATCCTTTATCGCTAAAACGAAGTAGCATTTCGAAATAATGAAATACTATTTCGAAAAAAAAAACGAAATCGTTTGTCGTTTAAACGAAATAGCATTTCGAAATAATGAAATGCTTTTTCGAAATATCGAAATACTATTTCGAAATAACAAAATAGTATCTCGTTTAAACGAAATAGCGTTTGGAAATAACGAAATGCTTTTTCGAAATATCGAAATACTATTTCGAAATAACGAAATACTATATCGTTTAACGAAATACTATTTAAAGATAACTAAATGCTATTTCGAAATGATAAAATATTTCGATTAAACCAAATAGTATTTCGAAATAACGAAATTTCATTTTGAAATAACGAAATATATTTCGATTAAATGAAATACAAAATATATATGCATCCCTGTCACTTAAGGGGCTCCGTAGTGGCAAGATTTACCCAAATACACCCATTACTACCCAAATGCACCCCACTGTTGAACTTTTACTACGAAATGTTAAATAAAGATCAATTGCTTGAAGGTTGTTATCTACATAGGGTCACACGATATCAAAGATGAATGTTTTTCTAAGGATTATTGTGGCGAGTGGAAGAAATGTTACTGTTGGTATATTCAACGAGGGATTGAGAAGAAGATAGCCAATATAACTGAAGTACAATACTCCACAGTTGTTAATTTCTTTGCTGCAATTTCAAATCGTTCCTCTAGTGATACAAGACACCACAAATAGCTTATAATAAAAGACAACTAAATTTTTAGGCACATGTTCTTGACAAAATGCTCCCCAGTTTGTTGTTGTTTTTTTTTTGTTGTTGTTTTTTTCTGTTTATTTTTTGGGGGGAGGAGTTTGCTGTTTTTCGGGGGGATGTTTATTCACTGGATTTGATATTTTTTTTCTTCGAAAATCCAGTTCATTATAGTAAACAACACTGTTGCTAAATTGTATTTTAGCTGACCTAAAATCAGAAACTTAGTACACAGTAAGTTAAAATTATTGGTCGCTATCAATGTCATACTATGTATAAGAACGTTCCTGGTTATTAGCTCGGTTATTAGCTGGGACTACATTGGCGTACGTGACAAATGTCTTATAGTAAGTGACCACGTGAAATGTTGCGCGATCTAAAAATTTATTTTTTTAATTTTTCTGTTTCTCGGAATTAATAAGTAATTCTTTGGGATACATATACAAGTGGTACTCTTCTTTGTCAAATTCCAGTACAAAGACATTCATTGGAAATTATTCATAATTCTAAGGCCGGAATATTCTTTCGTGATTAATAAAATTCAACGTGGAGATTTTGACATGAACATTTTATTCGTCTGACGTCATGGTCCGCCATCTTTGAACTTGGATTTATTTTGACATTTTAGTGATAGGACTTTTTGTTACATTTCTGGGATTAAGTTTTGGATTATATTCGCAAACTTCCAAGTCCTTTTTAAAATTTTTACTGTGTTTTCTAGGAAAAAAATATTTTTGTTGCAATTTACAAAGCTTATTGGCTTAACTCTTTTCTTTGTTACTTCGAATCCGCCGTGATTTGTAACAAATGCTTTAGTCCGAAAATTCACTGAGCACGGTGTAATTTTAATAAACAGCTGAAATTAATAAATCCTATCAAATTATAATTGAACACAACTGAAAGACTCATTCCACTAGACTTATGTAAAGATATAATAATTCTGTTTATCGCAAATTTCATATAAAATCTTTTAATCTCAATAAGAGGACCAGAGTATGGGTCATTTATCCATCAAATTTGTGGATACGGTCAGGTCAGTTTGCCTAAATTTTAGCAAGTAACCTGGTAAATATCAGGCAAATCATGATTTTTTTTCCAAGGGAGGCACCATTGTCCAGAACACAAATCCACAAAATAAATTTTGCCTACAAATGATCATTAACTTGACAATAAGCTTCAATCATGGATGAAAATTTGCCACGAAATGTTTTGTGTAAATGATCATTACAATCTAAAATCATGGACAAATGTTAATCTCCCAATATGGATAATGTATAACAATCTGAAGTTTGACAATGATGACTTTGCACAGATTTACAACGAAGTGTGAACTGAGATTTTTTGGCTGAATTGAAACAGTTGTATTGTGGATGATTCCGTGTTATTTTTATATGCCTAATTTATTTTGAGCACACTATATCATAAGTCATAAATGTATTATGTCATACATACTACATATATTTGTGTACACTTATTTTGACTTATGTTTCTTATACGTTAGCTATACAACTAATTATTTGTCTGCATAGGTGTGCTTTGTTTTAAACCCATTTCTGAGCCATTTTGCGAACGATGAATGTAGTTTTAATCTGAATTTGATGCCGCCAGCCTTTTACAGTGAGGTTTTCAATATACATAGTAATGATTCGATCCAACAATATTCAGATTGTCATCTTTTCGACTGTTTGAAATGAAATGCTTATAGCGCGTGGGATAACACTTGTTATCACCGTAAGTGCTATTATGTATTAAATGCAAGCGATCCTTCAGTTAGACATAACCTTGACATTCTTGTATTCTATTCCTGTTAGCCAGTGCTGTTTTATCTGTATTATAAAACCAGCAGTTATTGCTAGTTCGAAGATTTTACACGTGACAATATAAGAATTAATTTAGTAGAGTGTCTAGTTTATTGGGTACATTTATACAGGAATCCTGATGTAAACATTCACATTTAGAGATGACTATATGCAGTAATGCATGTTTCTGGTTCTCTATAAACACATTTGTACATGAAAATCAATAAATGATTCGTTCTGTTAAAGTCTGCATGACCTTGCATCATATCTAAAGTACATGAAAATCAATAAATAAATTATTCGTTCTGTTAGAGTCACATTGTCGTCTAGAAACTGTTGTCTGAATGTTTATTAAAACACAGGAGTGGCTCAGGACTGAAAACTATATTTAACATAATGACAGTGAAGGAATATTTCTTGATGGTTTTAGAATAACGAAAGCATCATAATATTTAAAAGTTTCGCTATAGTCCAATACTATCATTTTCTTAGGTTTCCTTTCCCCAAGGACCAGCCTTTCTTTCTATTTGATACCTATACATTTTGGGGGTACTTGCATATAAAGCATATCATAT